CCCTCCCCCCTCTCTCTCTCTCTCTCGCTCTGTTTCTCTCTCTCAGCGTCTCAGAGCCACCCACTTCTCTCTCCATTAGCCTGACTGTAATTTCAGACAGGCTCCATTATCTAACGGAAACTGCATGGTAACATCCTCTTCACCGGGACAGATTATCAAGCCTTTACTGATTCCCAAACCCATTCAACCTGCCCTCTTTGATCAAAACGGTTGGTTCATAATTGAGGTCCAATATGGAGATGTGCTGTATATCCAGTATGTATAGAACTGACCTATCAGGCAAGCAGATGACATAGTGTCACCACTCACTCCATGCCAATTGGTGGAACTAAACTGCCACTGCCTGCCTGAGGAGACCACAAGGCTGTCCTGTCACTCAGTGTCCAGGTGGTTGTTGACCCTGGTGACCCTTACTGTACTGTACAGGAGGTCGGCAGAGTCCCAGAGTCTGGAATGACTGGGATAGAGCCCAGCAAACCTTTAGAATTCCTGACTGCTTTTAAATAGAACATTCTAAAATGGAGCTCCACCCCAGTACCAGTAGTAGATCTGAAATAGGTACAGTATCCAAGCTGGCTGTCACAATGTCCTTTACTTTAAAATACACTGATCAAAAACATGCAACAATTTCAAAGGTTTTCCTCAGTTACACTTCATATAAGGAAATCAGTCAATTTAAATACATTCATTTGGCCCTAATCTATGGATTTCACATGACTGGGAATACAGATATGCATCTGTTGGTCACAGATACCGTTAAAAAAAAAGTAGGGGTGTGGGATCAGAAAATTAGTCGGTATCTGGGGTGACCACCATTTGCCTCATGCAGCGCAACACATCTCCTTCGCATAGAGTTGATCAGGCTGTTGATTGTGGCCTGTGGAATGTTGTCCCACTCCTCTTCAATGGCTGTGCGAAGTTGCTGGATATTGGCGGGAACTGGAACACGCTGTCGTACACGTCGATCCAGAGCATCCCAAACATGCTCAATGGGTGACATGTCTGGTGAGTATGCAGGCCATGGAAGAACTGGGACATTTTCAGCTTCTAGGAATTGTGTACAGATCCTTGTGACATGGGGCTGTGCATTATCATGCTGAAACATGAGGTGATGGCGGTGGATGAATGGCACGACAATGGGCCTCAGGATCTCGTCACGGTATCTCTGTGCATCGAAATTGCCATTGATAAAATGCAATATTGTTCATTGTCCGTAGCTTATGCCTGCCCATACCATAACGCCACCGCCACCATGGGGCACATGTTGACATCAGCAAATCGCTCGCCCACACAACGCCATACACATCTCCGGGAAACTCATCTGCAGGCTCGTCGTCTTAACCAGGTCTTGACCTGACTGCAGTTTGGCGTTGTAACCGACTTCAGTGGACAAATGCTCACCTTCGATGGCCACTGGCATGCTGAAGAAGTGTGCTCTTCACAGATAAATCCCAGTTTCAACTGTACCAGGCAGATTGCAGACGCTGAGATATACTGATATACGCTGTCGGCCATCTGCCCGGTACAGTTGAAACCGTATTCACAGGACTGCTATTCACAGGTCTGGTATTCACAGGTCTGGTATTCACAGGACTGCTATTCACAGGACTGGTATTCACAGGTCTGGTATTCACAGGTCTGGTATTCACAGGACTGGTATTCACAGGTCTGGTATTCACAGGACTGATATTCACAGGTCTGGTATTCACAGGTCTTGTATTCACAGGACTGCTATTCATAGGACTGCTATTCACAGGTCTGGTATTCACAGGACTGCTATTCATAGGACTGCTATTCACAGGTCTCGTCTGGTATTCACAGGTCTGGTATTCACAGGACTGGTATTTACAGGTCTGGTATTCACAGGACTGATATTCACAGGTCTGGTATTCACAGGTCTGGTATTCACAGGACTGCTATTCATACCCAAGAAGACTCTAGGCTGTAATCGCTGCCAAAGTGCTTCAACAAAGTACTGAGTAAAGGGTCTGAATACTTATGTAAATGTGATATTTCTTTTTCTTTTTTTTCTCTTTTTTAAAAAAATAAATTAGCAAACATTTCTAAAAACCTGTTTTTGCTTTGTCATTTTGGGGTATTGTGTGTAGATTGATGAGGGGGAAAAACAATTTAATCAATTTTAGAATAAGGCTGTAACCTAACAAAATGTGGATAAAGTCAAGGAGTATGAATACTTTCCAAAGGCACTGAATGCCTTGACTAGAATACACTTTATATTAAGTGGACAGCAGTAGTTATATAGGATGAACCATGACTAGAATACAGAATATACATATGAAGTGGACAGCAGTAGTTATATAGGATGAACCATGACTAGAATACAGTATATACATATGAAGTGGACAGCAGTAGTTATATAGGATGAACCATGACTAGAATACAGTATATACATATGAACTGGGTAAAACAGTATATAAACATAATTAAAGTGACCAGTGTTCAATGACTATGTAAATAGGGCAGCAGTTACTATTTTTCCTTTAGTTTATTTAGCAAATGTTTCTTACTTACTTTTTAAAAACTCTGCATTGTTGGTTAAGGGCTCATAAGTAAGCATTTCACAGTAAGGCCTACACCTGCTGTATTTGGCGCATGTGACAAATAACATTTGATTTGATTTGAGTCTCTAAAGTGCTGGGTAGAGTACCGGGTGGTAGCCGGCTAGTAACAGTGGCTAAGTTCAGGGCAGGGTACTGAGTGGAGGCCGGCTAGTGGTGACTATTTAACAGTCTGATGGCCTGGAGATGAAGCTGTTTTTCAGTCTCTCTGTCCCAGCTTTGATGCACCTGTACTGACCTCGCCTTCTAGATGGTAGCAGGGTGAACAGGCCATGGCTCGGGTGGCTGAGGTCCTTGATGATCGTCTCCTTCTTCCTCTCCCCATATCAGTCTCTGGAATAACTTGCTATCTCCATGATGATACTATCCTACCCCTTAGAGACAGTCATCCCTTGAAATATGCGACCAGACTCATACATCTAGAATATGTCTGTCTTGCTATTCTTACCTTCTTACCGTTACAGGGCTGCTATTGGCTATCAGGTCGTTCAGCTCAGTGGCTCCATACCTTCTTACCGATACAGGGCTGCTATTGGCTATAAGGTCGTTCAGCTCAGTGGCTCCATACCTTCTTACCGTTACAGGGCTGCTATTGGCTATCAGGTCGTTCAGCTCAGTGGATCCTATTAACATCACCTGAGCTAGACACATTTAACTACCCTGGAGAGCTGACATCACACATTTAACTACCCTGGAGAGCTGACATCACACATTTAACTACCCTGGAGAGCTGACATCACACATTTAACTACACTGGAGAGCTGACATCACAAATTTAACTACCCTGGAGAGCTAGCATCACACATTTAACTACCCTGGAGAGCTGACATCACACATTTAACTACCCTGGAGAGCTGACATCACACATTTAACTACCCTGGAGAGCTGATATTGCTATTGTAGCTGAACCATGCTTTGATTGGTTCTCCTGGCTGGCAGCATCTAATATCTGGCATTCTATTACTGCGTCCCAAATGGCATCTTGTGTCCTATTTAATGGACGACCTTTGACCTTTGACCAGGGCCCTTTAGGACGCAGTATGCCAGAGCACAGAGTGATGGAACATCAAACAGGGCCTTCTACAGATATAGGCCGACCCATAGACGAAAGAGCTGTACTTGAGAAGCACTATCAGCGTGTGTGATTGAAGGGTAAGCCTGGCCTTCTCTCGGATCAGTGAGCTTGGGTGACCAGTCCCATATCAATTGAGAGAAGTTGATTTACTGTATGCTGCGTTCTGAATCCAACTTCTCTGGTGGGGGTGTAACCAACTATGTGTTATTGCAAAGCCTCCTCTCCTGACTGAATAAGGACCTGCAAGCTGAATGTGTTCCTCAGACAGAATGCTTTGTTTATAATAGGGGATTGAATGGAGGCAGGCAGAAAGCAGATCAGTTCTTACTGTGGTCTTACACACTTACTGTGTGGAGGCACAATAGCACAATTATGGTTGGTGTGTTTTATATCAAACATCCAATCTGGTAAACTAAGGAGACGACAGGAGCATGTAGAGAGGAAAGGTGGTGATATCAGGAGCATGTAGAGAGGAAAGGTGGTGATATCAGGAGCATGTAGAGAGGAAAGGTGGTCATATCAGGAGCATGTAGAGAGGAAAGATGGTCATATCAGGAGCATGTAGAGAGGAAAGGTGGTGATATCAGGAGCATGTAGAGAGGAAAGGTGGTCATATCAGGAGCATGTAGAGAGGAAAGGTGGTCATATCAGGAGCATGTAGAGAGGAAAGGTGGTGATATCAGGAGCATGTAGAGAGGAAAGGTGGTCATATCAGGAGCATGTAGAGAGGAAAGGTGGTCATATCAGGAGCATGTAGAGAGGAAAGGTGGTGATATCAGAAGCATGTAGAGAGGAAAGGTGGTCATATCAGGAGCATGTAGAGAGGAAAGGTGGTCATATCAGGAGCATGTAGAGGAAAGGTTGTGATATCAGGAGCATGTAGAGAGGAAATGTGGTGATATCAGGAGCATGTGGGCGGCAGGTAGCTTAGTGGGTAAGAGCGTTGTGCCAGTAACCGAAAGGTCGCTGGTTCTAATCCCCGAGCCGACTAGGTGAAAAATCTGTCGATGTGCCCTTAAGCAAGGCACTTAACCCTAATTGCTCCTGTAAGTCGCTCTGGATAAGAGCGTCTGCTAAATGACTAAAATGTAATGTAGAGAGGAAAGGTGATCATATCAGGAGCATGTAGAGAGGAAAGGTGGTGAAGTGATAGCACAGCATGTTTTAATCATTTTTGTTTTAAACAACCTATATAATTACTAGCCAGTACAATGAACCTAAAAATGAGTGTATACCACAATTATCTTTGGTAATACTATACAGTATCAAACTTTCTGAATGATGGGAGTATTAGCTTGCCCTCGTGAGGCGGTTACAGTGAAGTGCAGCTGGACAGGTTCCATGTTCATGTTTCCAGGGGAAAGGTTTCAATGTAACACCACAACATTGAGCTTTCAGACAGCACAGGTTTGTGAATGATTTTAAGATTTAGCTTCTTATGTTATATAACCTAATTATCTGGTTATGTTAGGGACGTTTTTCACAGTACTTTGGGGTGTTAAAGTCTATGATTTTAGGAATCAACATTTTTATAAAGGGATAGAACTGTGAAGGACATCCAAAGCATAGTTAGCTAGTCAGCTAGCTCTTGCCCATCGCGCGACGACAACAACAAGTTACTTCTGACCGATTTTGTTTGATGACTGGTTTTCGCAACTCACCAAAGTAAAAATATTTCTGGAATGTTGGAGAACTTTTCTCTGTGTGCGCAGGGTGTCCAAAGTACGAAACGACTAGCAGCTTCAGTTTGACGCCGGTCTACTTTGTCGCTGATCCATGCGCATGGGTCAGATGCGCATGTGTAGATCTCGTAGTGGCGACCAGAGCTAGTGTATGTCTGCCTCAGTTAGCACAGACAGAGGACTCTGTGTAGATCCAAGATGGCGAAGTAGTACAGTTCTGTTTTTGTCGTGTGTCTGTAAATAGCCTGTAAATACCCTGTTTTTTTGTATTTTTCTGTTGTATTTTTGACTTTATGTTTTTTACCCCATATGTAACTCTGTGTTGTTTTTATCTCACTGCTTTGCTTTATCTTGGCCAGGTCGCAGTTGTAAATGAGAACTTGTTCTCAACTGGCTTACCTGGTTAAATAAAGGTGAAATAAAAAAATATATAAAAAAACAAAACAAAAATATGGCCTGGTAGCTGCACACGTACGACCTTGCCACCAACTCTGGTCAACTGTTTTACAGTTCAATAACAGTGTTGATTCCTCTCCTCTCTGTTTCCCTCCCTCCCTCTGTTCCTCTCCCTCCCTCTGTTCCTCTCCCTGCTCTTCCTCTCTCCCTCTCTGTTTCCCTCCCTCCCTCCCTCCTTCTCTCCCTCCCTTGCCTGGTAGCAGCACCATGGTTCTGTCTGCAGCCAGTCGGCACCTCCTTAGGGGCAGTAGGTTTGGTGCCTGGGGGCAGCTGCTCCCCAGGAGGAGCGGATCTGTATACACCACTGCCAATGGGTTCCAGGAGAAGGAGATCAGAGAGAAACTCCAAGCTTTCCCTGGGGGGTCTATAGACCTTGTCAAACAGGAGTCAGGCATCGCAGTGCTCACCGTCAACAACCCTGCTCGCATGAACGCTTTCTCTGGTATTAGGAGCGCTGTCCACCGTTATATTTTATTATTGATCTGAGTGTTGCTCTTTGTTAACCTACAATTCAGACTAAATATCACTCCGCTTCTCTTTGGTTTCACCTCACCAAACGGAGCGAAATATATTTAGTTTTGTATTCCAACTCTTTGCTTCTCCTGAGAATGATTACAGTGGGACTAAGGGGCTAGTGCTCAATGAACTGGGTTGGTGTTCAGTAGGGCACACTGTAGCAAAACGTTTAGCAACAGATGACTAAAATGTGTTTATTTGGATCCCCATTAGCTTTTGCAGAAGCAGCAGCTGCTCTTCCTGGGGTCCCCAAAAAACACAAAACATGACAAGTAACAAAACACTGATACACAAGGACTTAAAATACAACATATACAAACCACAAAACATTTAACAATACAACAAAATAATGTGTGTTTGTGTGTGTCCCCTCACAGTCCCCGTTGTTCCATGAGATGTTGTTTAATCAGTTTTTTAAAGGCAATTTTGCTGTTCGCTTGAGTAATTGGAGATGCGATCATGGCTCTGTATAATACTGTACGTTGCCGTGAATTCATTTTGGACTTGGGGACTGTGAAGAGACCCCTGGTGGCATGTATTGTGGGGTATGTATGGGTGTCTGAACTGAATGTTTTTGATTATGCAGACTATCTGGAGTTTTCATCACAGTAATATTTCTCATGAAAACTAGAAGAGCAGCAGTTCATCTCTCGTCAACACTCAACCTCATAGTGAACATGTTCAGATTGTACCTCCCTGTTTAACTCAGATTCAAAACGTTTTCTCCCTACTGAACACTACCCTGTTTTCTCCAGGTTCTATGATGGTGGAGCTGGAGGAGAGGATGTCCCAGCTAGAGGAGTGGACGGAAGGGAAAGGTCTCATCATCCAGGGGGCTGCTGGGACATTCTGCTCTGGGTCAGACCTCAACGCTGTCAGGGCTATATCCAACCCTCAGGTCAGACCTCAATGTTGTCAGAGATATACAGTGGCTTGCGAAAGTATTCACCCCCCTTGGCATTTTTCCTAATTTTTTGCCTTACAACCTGGAATTAAAATGTATTTTTGGGGGGTTTGTATCATTTGATTTACACAACATGCCTAATATTTGTTCTTGTGAAACAAACAAGAAATAAGACAAAAAAACTGAAAACTTGAGCGTGCATAACTATTCACCCCCCCAACGTCAATACTTTGTAGAGCCACCGTTTGCAGCAATTACAGCTGCAAGTCTGTTGGGGTATGTCTATATAAGCTTGGCACATCTAGCCACTGGGATTTTTGCCCATTCTTCAAGGCAAAACTGCTCCAGCTCCTTCAAGGTGGATGGGATCCGCTGGTGTACAGCAATCTTTAAGTCATACCACAGATTCTCAATTAGATTGAGGTCTGGGCTTTGACTAGGCCATTCCAATATATTTAAATGTTTCCCCTTAAACCACTTGAGTGTTGCTTTAGCAGTATGCTTAGGGTCATTGTCCTGCTGGAAGGTGAACCTCCGTCCCAGTCTCAAATCTCTGGAAGACTGAAACAGGTTTCCCTCAAGAATTTCCCTGTATTTAGCGGCATCCATCATTCCTTCAATTCTGACCAGTTTCCCAGTCCCTGCCGATGAAAAACATCCCCACAGCATGATGCTGCCACCACCATGCTTCACTGTGGGGATGGTGTTCTCGGGGTGATGAGAGGTGTTGGGTTTGCGCCAGACATAGCGTTTTCCTTGATGGCCAAAACGCCCAATTTTAGTCTCATCTGACCAGAGTACCTTCTTCCATATGTTTGGGGAGTCTCCCACATGGCTTTTGGTGAACACCAAACGTGTTCGCTTATTTTTTTCTTTAAGCAATGGCTTTTTTCTGGCCACTCTTCCGTAAAGCCCAGCTCTGTGGAGTGTATGGCTTAAAGTGTTCCTATGGACAGATACTCCAATCTCCGCTGTGGAGCTTTGCAGCTCCTTCAGGGTTATCTTTGGTCTCTTTGTTGTCTCTCTAATCTTGGTGGTGCCCCTTGCTTAGTGGTGTTGCAGACTCTGGGGCCTTTCAGAACAGGTGTGTATATATACTGAGATCATGTGACACTTAGATTGCACACAAGGTGGACTTTATTTAACTAATTATGTGACTTCTGGAGGTAATTGGTTGCACCAGATCTTATTTAGGGGCTTCATAGCAAAAGGGGGTGAATACATATGCACGCACCACTTTTCCGTTATTTATTTTTTATAATTCTTTGAAACAAGTAATTTTTTTCATTTCACTTCACCAATTTGGCCTATTTTGTGTATGTCCATTACATGAAATCCAAATAAAAATCCATTTAAATGACAGGTTGTAATGCAACAATATAGGAAAAATGCCAAGGGGGATGAATACTTTTCCAAGGCACTGTATACAAACATCAGGTCAGACCTCAGTGTTGTCAGAGATATATCCAACCCTTAGGTCAGTCTCTCTGGACAATCTCCCTCTCTGAAAGACCAGTAGAAAGCTCAGTGAACTGTTTTTATTCAGTCACATTGTATTGGGGCACTCCTACTTCCATCCAATCTGACTTTCTAAATCACGTGTCAAACTCTTTCCACGGAGGGCAGAGTGTCTGCGGGTTTTCACTCCTCCCTTGTACTTGATTGATGAATTAAGATCACTAATTAGTAAGGAACTCCCCTCACCTGGTTGTCTAGGTCTTAGTAAGGAACTCTCCTCACCTGGTTGTCGTTTATCTTAAAGGAAAACCCCCAAACCAGCAGACACTAGGCCCTCCATGGAATGAGTTTGACACCCCCATGGTCTAAACGATGCGTCTTGCCTTTCAGGATGGGATGAAGATGTGTATGTTCATGCAGAATGCCCTGACCAGGCTACTGAGGTAGGACACTGTGTTTATAAAGTTCTAGATCAGTGTGTCATGCCAGATGCTCTGTGCCATGCTAACCCATGTGTTCTCTGTGCAGGCTGCCTCTGTTCTCCGTAGCTCTGGTGGAGGGGAGCGCACTGGGAGGAGGGGCCGAGCTCACTACTGCCTGTGACTTTAGGTACAGTAACGGAACTCATTTTCCACAGATGGCACCGTTGCTATGTGTTTATTAAACTGGAGGCCCACATCCAGATAGTGGAGAAAAGGAGGGTGCAGAGAAAAGGCCTTTTCAAGAAATATCTGAGCAACAAAATCCACCAGGTTTCCAATCTCTAAACCAACATCACGGTCTCTCCCTGCTAGGTTGATGGCGCCAGGCAGTGTGATCCAGTTTGTCCATAAACACATGGGTCTGGTCCCTGGTTGGGGCGGTGCAGCTAGATTGGTACGCATCGTAGGCAGCCAGAACGCCCTGAAGATGCTGGGTAATGCCCTGAATGTGGACCCAGAGATGGGGCTGCAGATTGGGCTTGCGGATGGGGTCCTGGAGGGTCCCCTGGCTGGGTCTGGAGCCAATGCCCTCCTGGAGGCAGAGCAGTGGTTGGGCTGCTACACCAAGGGTCCATCCCCGGTCATCAGAGCCATAAAGAAAGTGGTGGTGTCAGGGAGAGAGCTCCCCCTGGAGGCAGCCCTGAGGACTGAGAGGGACGTGTTCGGGACAGTGTGGGGAGGACCGGCTAACCTACAGGCTCTGGCCAGCAAGGCCAAACACAAGTGAATTAACTTAGTCTTGTGATTACATTGTATTCTCGTCCTAATGTTCTGAAGAAACCTAGAACGGCTGGAGTCGAAACTGTGAACCAACCCACGCTGCGAATACTGAACTGGAACATTAGGATGCAATGTAGAGGAACTAAACTAGAACACACTTAACTAGTGTATTCATTCTGCCGATTCTGTTGCTGAAGGTCTCATAAAACAGAAGCTAACGAAACCTACCATAATTTTTCCAATAGCAACTAGTTTTAGTTGGAAACGTTTTGCAACCATTTGGCGGAATGAATACACCCCTGGACTGTGCTAGGAGTGTGACAGTACCTTATGGGGGATTTATATTTCTGTGTTGAGTGACCACTAACAATCAATTCATTATTTTAGTGAAGGAATTGTTAGTGACTGTTGGGACCATATATACAGTCATTAACACAGGGAAGCACATCCGTCACGAAGAGGTGACAGACACGAGGGTGACAGAGACCAGGTGACAGAACACAGAATCAGGTGCCACTAACCAGGGTGCATACCAAACAGGTACCGACTTACACACCAGGGTGACAGAACACAGAACCAGGTGACAGAACACAGAACACCAGGGTGACACAGTGACAGAACACCAGGGTGACAGAACACCAAGGTGACATCTTCATTACATATTTATTTTTTATTTAACCTTTATTTAACCAGGTAAGCCAGTTGAGAACAAGTTCTCATTTAACAACTGCGACCTGGCCAAGATAAAGCAAAGCGATAAAAACAACAACAGAGTTACATATGGGGTAAAACAAAACATAAAGTCAAAAATACAACAGAAAATATATATACAGTGTGTGCAAATGTAGCAAGTTATGGAGGTAAGGCAATAAATAGGCTATAGTGCAAAATAATTACAATTAGTATTAACACTGGAATGATAGATGTGCAAGAGATGATGTGCAAATAGAGATACTGGGGTGCAAATGAGCAAAATAAATAACAATATAGGGATGAGGTGGTTGGGCGGGCTAATTTCAGATGGGCTGTGTACAGGTGCAGTGATCGGTAAGGTGCTCTGACAACTGATGCTTAAAGTTAGTGAGGGAGATAAGAGTCTCCAGCTTCAGAGATTTTTGCAATTTGTTCCAGTCATTGGCAGCAGAGAACTGGAAGGAATGGCGGCCAAAGGAGGTGTTGGCTTTGGGGATGACCAGTGAGATATACCTGCTGGAGCGCATACTACAGGTGGGTGTTGCTATGTGACCAATGAGCTAAGATAAGGCGGGGATTTGCCTAGCAGTGATTTATAGATGGCCTGGAGCCAGTGGGTTTGGCGACGAATATGTAGTGAGGACCAGCCAACAAGAGCGTACAGGTCACAGTGGTGGGTAGTATATGGGGCTTTGGAGACAAAACGGATGGCACTGTGATAGACTACATCCAATTTGCTGAGTAGAGTGTTGGAGGCTATTTTGTAAATGACATCGCCGAAGTCAAGGATCGGTAGGATAGTCAGTTTTACGAGGGCATGTTTGGCAGCATGAGTGAAGGAGGCTTCGTTGCGAAATAGGAAACCGATTCTAGATGTAACTTTGGATTGGAGATTCTTAATGTGAGTCTGGAAGGAGAGTTTACAGTCTAACCAGACACCTAGGTATTTGTAGTTGTCCACATACTCTAGGTCAGACCCGTCGAGAGTAGTGATTCTAGTCGGGTGGGCGGGTGCCAGCAGCGTTCGATTGAAGAGCATGCATTTAGTTTTACTAGTGTTTAAGAGCAGTTGGAGGCTACTGAAGGAGTGTTGTATGGCATTGAAGCTCGTTTGGAGGTTTGTTAACACAGTGTCCAATGAAGGGTCAGATGTATACAAAATGGTGTCGTCTGCGTAGAGATGGATCTGAGAGACACCAGCAGCAAGAGCAACATCATTGATATACACTGAGAAAAGAGTCGGCCCAAGAATTGAACCCTGTGGCACCCCCATAGAGACTGCCATAGGTCCAGACAACAGGCCCTCCAATTTGACACATTGAACTCTATCTGAGAAGTAGTTGGTGAACCAGGCGAGGCAGTCATTTGAGAAACCAAGGCTATTTAGTCTGCCAATAAGAATGCGGCGGTTGTCAGAGTAAAAAGCCTTGGCCAGGTCGATGAAGACGGCTGCACAGTACTGTCTATTATCGATCGCGGTTATAATATCGTTTAGGACCTTGAGCCTAAACGATATAACCTACATTGCAAACTTGATGTAGAAAAATGCTTGCCCACATTTTAGTCTCTTGCATAATTTCTTCCATTGTACTACAATTACATGGCAATGACTGAACATATCATGACAAACAACTTGGTCATCTTTTAAGTAGATTTATTTACAAATAAATCTCCAGGGAAACAGAAGAGAACCATCTAGACTACTTCTCCCCCTGTGGCTGATCAGGCATACTCCTGATGATGTCTGAATCACCTGTAGATGATTAGAAAATAAATTAGAAGTTACATTCTATAAACCAGTCAGGAAAGAATAACAGTTTACACACTTGTTAATTTTCCATGAACTCACCAGGGTCAATGATGGCCAGTGTGCAGACTCTGAAGTACTTTCCACAGGCTGTGCCCAGCTCTATGTTGTTCCCACTGTAGTGGTGGACTCCAGTCTTAGCCAGCATAGCATAGTATTCTATCTCTGATTTCCTACAGAGAGAGAAGGGAAGTGTTCAAATCAGTTTTAGGGTGGATTCACTTCAGTATAATGTTGGTGCTGAGCAGGAGTGAGCAGTCTTCCCTGAGGGAGAGGGTTTTGCTCCAACCTAGTAGTAGCACACCCGATTCAAATAATTAGTAGGTGTGCTAGTTTTGACTGGAGCAAAAGCCAGATTGCCCACCCTTGCAGTAGTTAGGTAAGTGTTGGTTAGTTACGAGCGCAGGTGTGTTGGTTAGTTACACTGAACAAAAATATAAAAATGCAACAATTTCGTCTACAATTTACTGAGTCACAGTAAATCAGTCAATTTAAATGAATTAATTAGGCCCTAATCTATGGATTTCACACGACTGGGAATACAGAGATATGAATCTGTTGGTCACATACCTTTAAAAAAAAAGTATGGGCGTGGAACAGAAAACCAGTCAGTATCTGGTGTGACCACCATTTGCCTCATGCAGTGCAACATACTTCGCATAGAGTTGATCAGGCTGTTGATTGTGGCTTGTGGAATGTTGTCCCACTCCTCTTCAATGGCTGTGCGAAGTTGCTGACTATTGGCAGGAACTGGAACACGCTGTCGTACACGTCGATCCAGAGCATCCCAAACATGCTCAATGGGTGACATGTCTGGTGAGTATGCAGGCCATGGAAGAACTGGGACATTTTCCAGCTTCCAGGAATTGTGTACAGATCCTTGTGACATGGGGCTGTGCATTATCATGCTGAAACATGAGGTGATGGCAGCGGATGAATTGCACGACAATGGGCCTCAGGATCTCGTCACGGTATCCCTGTGCATTCAAATTGCCATCGATAAAATGCAATTGTGTTCATTGTCTGCAGCTTATGCCTGCCCATACCATAACCCCACCGCCACCATGGGGCACTCTGTTCACAACATTGACAATCAAACCGCTCGCCCACACTGTCTGGTACAGTTGAAACCGGGATTCATCCGTAAAGAGCACACTTCTTAAGTGTGCCAGTGGCCATCAAAGGTTAACATTTGCCCACTGAAGTTGGTTACGACGCTGAAACTGCATTCAGGTCAAGACCCTGGTGAGGACGACGAGCACGCAACGTAGATGAGCTTCCCTGAGACAGTTTCTGACAGTTTGTGCAGAAATTCTTCAGTTGTGCAAACCCACAGTTTCATCGGGTGACTGGTCTCAGACGATCCGACAGGTGAAGAAGCTGGATGTGGAGGTCCTGGGCTGGCGTGGTTACACGTGGTCTGCAGTTTTGAGGCCAGTTGGACGTACTGCCAAATTCTCTAAAATGACATTGGTAGAGAAATGAACAAATTCTCTGGCAACAGCTCTGGTGGACATTCCAGCAGTCAGCATGCCAATTAAATGCTCCCTCAAGACATCTGTGGCATTGTGCTGTGTGACAAAACTGCACATTTTAGTGGCCTTTTAGTCCCCAGCACAAAGTGCACCTATAATGATCATGCTGTTTAATCAGCTTCTTGATATGCCACACCTGTCGGGTGGATGGATTATCTTGGCAAATAAGAAATGCTCACTAACAGGGATGTAAAAAATTTCACAAAATTTGAAAGAAAAGCTATTTGTGCTTATGGAAAATGTCTGGGGATCTTTTATTTCAGCTCATGAGACCAACACTTAACATGTTGCGTTTATATTTTTGTTGAGTGTAGTTACCTCAGGGCAGGTGTGTTGTTGGCCAGGATGACCAGCTTGGCTTTGCCCTGGCGGATCATCCTCTGAGTCTGTTTGTAGCCCAGTACATATTTACCGCTCTTCATCACCAGCTGAAGCCGAGAGTTGATGGACTCCAAGGACTTTTTCTGGGGAGAGAAACAGATTAGAGACCGACCAATCAGTAGTGTTGCATCGGAAAGTTGGCTTCCAACAGTCAGGCTGCTTTTAGCCCATGACTGCATAAATGACTAAACACAAGGCAGTCCCATGCATCATGGCATGTCAATATGAACCAGACCAGGCGAGGGCCCAGTTACACAAATGCATCTTACGACTAAGTTAATCGTTAACCTTTGTAGGAGCAATGTTAAATCTCTGAGCCGTTTCCCAAAACCATCACTACTTAAGTTGTACTTAAACTATAGCTGTTCTACGGCAGTCGATAAATAACTAAGTACATCGTTAGAGAAGATGGCTGCCGTTTTACAGCCCTCTAACCAATTGTACTATTATGTGTGTTTTTCCGCGTTATTTGTAATTTATTTTGTACATAATGTTTCTGCCATCGTCTCTTATAACCAAAAAGAGCTTCTGGATATCAGGACAGCGATTACTCACCTCGTATTGGACGAATAATTTTTCTTCAACAAGTCGGATGCGAAGGATATCCTACAGACACCCGACAAGGCCCAAATCCCCATCATTCGCATGAGAAAGAGAGAGATATCGTGGACGTAGGTCGGGGTGCCTTGTAAGGATCCGACGGCGAGTGAGTAAACTGCCTCTTCCATCAATCCTATTAGCCAATGTTCAATCATTTGAGAATAAATTGGATGACCTAAGATTACGGTTATCCTACCAACAGGACATTAAAAACTGTAATATCTTATGTTTCACCGAGTCGTGGCTGAACGTCGACATGGACAACATACAGCTAGCGGGCTATACGCTACATCGGCAGGATAGAACGGCTGACTCCGGTAAGACAAGGGGTGGCGGTCTGTGTATATTTGTAAACAACAACTGGTGCACAAAATCAAATACTAAGGAACTCTAGGTTTTGCTTGCATGAGATAGAGTATCTTATGATGTAGTTTTTCCTGTAGACCACACTATTTACCAAGAGAGTCTATCTATATTTTTCATAGCTGTCTATTTACCACCACAAACCAATGCTGGCATTAAGATTGCACTGAATGAGCTGTATAAGGCCATAAGTGAACAGGAAAACGCTCATCCAGAGGCAGCGCTCCTAGTGGCCAGGGACTTTAATGCAGGGAAAACTTAAATCCGTTCTACCTCATTTCTACCAGCATGTTAAATGTGCAACCAGAGGAAAAAAAGCTCTAGACCACCTTTACTCCACACACAGAGACGCTACAAAGCTCTCCCTCGCCCTCCATTTGGCAAATCTGACCATAACTCTATCCTCCTGATTCCTGCTTATAAGCAAAAACTAAAGCAGGAAGCACCAGTGACTCGGTTAATAAAAAGGTGGTCAGATGACGCAGATGCTAAGCTACAGGACTGTTTTGCTAGCACAGACTGGAACATGTTCCGGGATTCTTCAGATAGCATTGAGGAGTACACAACATCAGTCACTGGCTTCATCAATAAGTGCATCGATGATGTCGTCCCCACAGTGACCGTACGTACATACCCCAACCAGAAGCCATGGATTACAGGCAACATCCGCACTGAGCTAAAGGGTAGAGCTGCCGCTTTCAAGGAGCGGGACTCTAACCCGGACGCTTATAAGAAATCCCGCTATGCCCTCCGACGAACCATCAAACAGGCAAAGAGTCAATACAGGACTAAGATTGAATCATACTACACCGGCTCTGACGCTCGTCGGATGTGGCAGGGCTTGAAAACTATTACAGACTACAAAGGGAAGCACAGCCGCGAGCTGCCCAGTGACACAAGACTTCCAGACGAGCTAAACCACTTCTATGCTCGCTTCGAGGCAAGCAACACTGAAGCATGCCTGAGAGCACCAGCTGTTCCGGATGACTATGTGATCACGCTCTCCGTAGCCAATGTGAGTAAGACTTTTAAGCAGGTCAACATCCACAAGGCCGCAGGGCCAGACGGATTACCAGGACGTGTACTCCGAGCATGTGCTGACCAACTGGCAAGTGTCTTCACTGACATTTTCAACATGTCCCTGACTGAGTCTGTAATACCAACATGTTTCAAGCAGACCACCATAGTCCCCGTGCCCAAGGACACTAAGAACCTGCCTAAGTGACTACTGACCCGTAGCACTGACGTCTGTAGCCATGAAGTGCTTTGAAAGGCTGGTCATGGCTCACAACACCATTATCCCAGAAACCCTAGACCCACTCCAATTTGCATACCGCCCCAACAGATCCACAGATAATGCAATCTCTATTGCACTCCACACTGCCCTTTCCCACCTGGACAAGAGGAACACCTACGTGAGAATGCTATTCATTGACTACAACTCAGCATTCAACACCATAGTGCCCTCAAAGCTCATCACTAAGCTAAGGATCCTGGGACTAAACACCTCCCTCTGCAACTGGATCCTGGACTTCCTGACGGGCCGCCCCCAGGTGGTAAGGGTAGGTAACAACACATCTGTCACACTGATCCTCAACACGGGGGCCCCTCAGGGGTGCATGCTCAGTCCCCTCCTGTACTCCCTGTTCACCCATGACTGCATGGCCAGGCACGACTCCAACACCATCATTAGGTTTGCCAACGACACAACAGTGGTAGGCCTGATCATCGACAACGATGAGACAGCCTATAGGGAGGAGGTCAGAGACCTGGCCGTGTGGTGCCAGGATAACAACCTCTCCCTCAACGTGACCAAGACAAAGGAGATGATTGTGGACTACAGGAAAAAAAAAAGAGGACTGAGCACGCCCCCATTCTCATCGACGGGGCTGTAGTGGAACAGGTTGAGAGCTTCAAGTTCCTTGGTGTCCACATCACCAACGAACTATCATGGTCCAAACACACCAAGACAGTCGTGAAGAGGGCACGACAAAGCCTATTCCCCCTCAGGAGACTGAAAAGATTTGGCATGGGTCCTCAGATCCTCAAAAAATTATACAGCTGCACCATCAAGAGCATCCTGACTGGTTGCATCACCGCCTGGTATGGCAACTGCTTGGCCTCTGACCGCAAGGGACTACAGAGGGTAGTGTGTACGGTCCAGTACATCACTGGGGCCAAGCTGACCCGAGAGCAGCGCTGCCTTTCTTTCAATCCTATCAGTATCGACACATGCCTCAACTACGCACCTACCGAACGTTCTCTCTGCGTGGTGTTTTGGGAAACGCATGTTACATCTTCCGCCGTAGGAAAGATACATCGTAAAGACACTCGTAAGCCTAAAGTTCCATCGCTATCGGGAAACCGGGCCCTGGTTGGTCACTCACACTGGGATAAATGAACGATTTGAAAATAACATTTACCCATCACCGTTCCTAAATTAAGGATGTGCACAAACATTTCTATTAATGAACGATTTCCCAGTCCCAAACTCACCGTTTTCTTAGCCGCCACCATGTCTGCGGTTTAAGATGTTACTAGCCCACCTAAACTAGGATATCACATGCAGAATGAGTGATACAATCTTGTGTCGCACGTTGACGTCAACCGGAGAGTTTAGCTGAACGCTCTGCACTGTCAGGTAGATGAATAAATAAATGAAAGAAAGATAACACCTCCCGGACTACAGTACTTGCATAACATTTATGCGTTTGTTTGGAAAACAAATCATCGCGAGAGGTGGCGTGAGATGAGCGGCAGGTTTGCACCAAATTTGAAAACGTGGAAAAGCTCTCACTCCTAAACATACACAGTTCATTACGAAGAGGAGACGGCCACTGCAGTCTGCACACGGTACAACTCCTGATGTAACACGATATACCTCTTTGGAATGTCCACCATCTCTAGCTACATTTTAGGTTTGCCATTTGGCTAGAAGTAAGTAAACAACACTAGCTAACTTTCTTTCTGAAATAATAGCTAAGTAAGTAACTAGCTTGCTACGTAACGTTAACGTGTGTATCGACCTTGTATACATGCATTTCATTTTAGTATGTATTTCAAGGTGAATTGCTAACGTTAGGGTATTAACTTTCAGCTAATCAATTGGTTAACAAGCAAAGCTAACTAGTTGAGTAATAAAGCAATACAACAATGTACTCTACATTGCACACCTGCATCATTCTGAAATTGCAACGGCTTTTAATATTTTGTCATTGAAACGAACTAGGTAACTAACCCTTAACTAGCTCCCATTTATCAAACCCTTGTTTTTACGCTAGCTAGCCAGCCAGCGGGCTAATGGGCCTCTAGGGGGGAGCCAAACACAGTGTTCCCAGCCTCAGTCGAGGTGTTGGCGGTCGGAGTGCAGTTTGAGCGGGCGGATGGGAGCCATGGAGATCAATAGGCGGAACATTTCAAACCGAGCGAGGGGCTTTAAATACCATTTATCAACAGCACGCGACAGCATAGCAACTATGGAATTGTTGTCACTATCGACATCAGCTATCTTCTGGTTGTTTCTTTCATCCACTTGGAAGGCGCATGTTTTGGCTGAAGTAGCTACTCTCGTAACCTGTTAGCTATTGACCACTTTTTCTTTAGCAAAAGTCAGCTGGATAAATTTGTATTTTCAAAAATGTAGTACAGGTTACATTTTGTCTAATCTTAGCTAACTAACTACATTAACTTAGTTAACGTTAGGCCTAACTAGCGATTTGGCTAGCTAGCTAACAACAAAGGTGGCTTAACACTTTTTCTAACTGCATTGTTTTTCACTTTGTTCTCACAGATCAGTTTGTAACACCAGACCCGTCACCTGGTGAATATAGTCTTTCTACATCTGAAAGGGAGTATGGAGTGCAGTCTCAGACCAGATGCTCATTTCCAGAGCCGCAAAGACCTGCAGTATGGAGCTTGTCATGACAGTGGATACTTGGACAGTGGTTACAGCCCTAAAATGGAGAGTGGAGACAAATTTGCCCTCTCAAAGTGTTTTTCTTCAGATGGTTTTCATGAAATGCCTAAAGAGAACCTTTCACAGAAATGCGAACCTCTGTCACCCAGAAAGAACAGACTAAAAGAGGGTGTCAGGAGTCCACAGAAAGACATTCTGAAGGAGCAGCCATTACAGAACGGCTGGTGTGAAACTCCTAAAGTATCCAAGAGAGGTCCATCTCTGAGACGACGTCTCCTCATGTCTAAATCGGAGGGTAAAACTGCAGGCAACACAAAAACACCATGCGCTAAAAGGACTGACTCGTCAGTGAACGTGAGAACTGACCGCTGCTCCAACGTGGTCTTTGACTCACCAGATGCCTTTACTATTGGAGATTTGGCTACAAGCACTTTAAAACCAGAGGACATGCTTCTGTCCAGCAGGAAACGGCGCCTCCTCTTTTCTCTTGTAAAAACCTCAACACTTGAAGATGGTAAATGCAACACGACCAGCCTCCCCCTCTTTGAGAGAAAGGCGTCTGCTGCATCGCTCTCAGATGCAGACTTGGAAGAGAGCATCATCTCCTCAGACCGCCTTTCCACTGAGATGCTGGAGACCCCACGCTATAGCAGATTAACACCTTCGGTGAAAGAGAACTTCCAGACTCCAGTCAACAACAACGTAGCAGCTAACCTCTCTGACAGCCTGAGTGTCCTGAGCACCCCTTCCTCCACCCCTACTCATAAACACGACCATGACACCCCTTCATCCACCCCTACTCATAAACACTATGACCATGACACCCCTTCATCCACCCCTACTCATAAACACTATGACCATGACACCCCTTCATCCACCCCTACTCTTAAACACTGTGACCGCTCCGTGTCTGAGGACAGTGGCTTCAGCTCCCTGGCTCTGGATAAGTCCCAGGACTCCACGGTGGACAATGATGGTTCCTTCCAGGAGCTGCTGTTGCCATCAGGCAGCTCCAGGTGCAAGGAGACCCCCAGCAGGCTGGCCGAGATGAAGAGGAGGTAGGCTAGATTAGCTTTTTGACTTCCAATGAATGCCCTTGAACAGTGTTTCTCAACTCCAATCCTTGAGTACCCCCAACAGTATATACTAATGTGTGATGTTTGGGGTACTCAAGGACTGAAGTTGAGAAACATTGCCCTAGAAAATGTCAGTGTTGTATATTTATGGTGTTTTGTAGTTTAATTATTGTAATATTTATTAATTTCATTGTAAGTTGTACATGGTGTAATTCAGTTTGTATCTTGCTTCCGTTTTGTAAAATTATTTAATAAGTAAAAAAATAAACATCATCATCAGGTCCAGACTGGAGCGCCAGCGCCGCCTCTCCACTCTCCGAGAGGGGGGTTCCCAGTCTGAGGGGGACCGTGACGTCAGGGCCCTGGCAGCCCACAGAACTCATCACAGAGAGAAGAACCTGACATCCCAGGCACATCTGGAGCGCAGCATCTTCAAGGAGGATGACAGTGACGTCTTCCTGGATGTGACTCCGCCGAAAACAGCCACTGTTAAGCTAGAGGACCTGTCCTTCACGCCGGCCCTGCAGATGGTCCAGGCCCTGGCCCAGAAGACCTCCGGGATGTTGCTGGAGCAGACCAGTCTGGAGGAGCTGCTGAGGGCCTCGGAGAAAGAGGCCTTCAGGACCACCATGCCCCTGGCTGGGCTGATCGGCAGGAAGATGGGCCTGGGGAAGGTAGACATCTTTACTGAGCTGAAGAAGAAGAATCTCAGACACATCCTGGCTATGATCCTCAATCAGCTGTCCTCTGAAGATGTCTATAGGTGAGGATTTTATTTACTGTATATACAATGCCTTCAGAAAGTATTCATACCCCTTGACTTATTCCACATTTTGTTGTGTTACAGCCTGAATTCAAAATGGATTAAATAAAAAATCGCACACAATACACCATAATGACAGTGAAAACATGTTTTTAGAAATTGTAGCAAATTTATTGAAAATGAAATGCGCATCTCATTTACATAGGTATTCACACCCCTGAGTCAATACTTTGTAGAAGCATCTTTGGTGGCGGTTATAGCTTTGAGTCGTCTTCTCTGTCAGGATTTTCTTTCCTGCTTCCGTCTGCCCACTCTCCTATAAAGCCCAGATCGGTGAAGTGCTGTAGAGACCGTTGTTCCTTCTGGGAGGTTCTCCCATCTCAGCCAATGAACTCTGTAGTTCTGTCAGAGTGGTCATTGGGTTCTTGGTCACCTCCCTAACCAAGTCATTCTTGCCCGGTTGCTCTGTTTGGTCGGACGGCCAGCTCTAGGCAGAGTCTGGGTAGTTCCATATGTTTTCCATTTCCTAATGATGGAGACCACTGTACTCTTGGAAACTTTCAACACTCTAGACATTGTTTTATACCCTTCCCCAGATACAGTACCAGTCAAAAGTTTGGACACACCTACTCATTCCAGGGTTTTTCTTAATTTTGTTACTATTTTCCACATTGTAGAATAATAGTGAAGACATCAAAACTATGAAATAACACACATGGAATCATGTAGTAATCAAAAAAGTGTTTAACAAATCAAAATACAGTGGGGAAAAAAAGTATTTAGTCAGCCACCAATTGTGCAAGTTCTCCCACTTAAAAAGATGAGAGAGGCCTGTAATTTTCATCATAGGTACACGTCAACTATGACAGACAAATTGAGATTTTTCTTCTCCAGAAAATCACATTGTAGGATTTTTAATGAATTTATTTGCAAATTATGGTGGAAAATAAGTATTTGGTCACCTACAAACAAGCAAGATTTCTGGCTCTCACAGACCTGTAACTTCTTCTTTAAGAGGCTCTTCTGGCCTCCACTCGTTAACTGTATTAATGGCACCTGTTTGAACTTGTTATCAGTATAAAAGACACCTGTCCACAACCTCAAACAGTCACACTCCAAACTCCACTATGGCCAAGACCAAAGAGCTGTCAAAGGACACCAGAAACAAAATTGTAGACCTGCACCAGGCTGGGAAGACTGAATCTGCAATAGGTAAGCAGCTTGGTTTGAAGAAATCAACTGTGGGAGCAATTATTAGGAAATGGAAGACATACAAGACCACTGATAATCTCCCTCGATCTGGGGCTCCACGCAAGATCTCACCCCGTGGGGTCAAAATGATCACAAGAACGGTGAGCAAAAATCCCAGAACCACACGGGGGGACCTAGTGAATGACCTGCAGAGAGCTGGGACCAAAGTAACAAAGCCTACCATCAGTAACACACTACGCCGCCAGGGACTCAAATCCTGCAGTGCAAGACGTGTCCCCCTGCTTAAGCCAGTACATGTCCAGGCCCGTCTGAAGTTTGCTAGAGTGCATTTGGATGATCCAGAAGAGGATTGGGAGAATGTCATATGGTCAGATGAAACCAAAATAGAACTTTTTGGTAAAAACTCAACTCGTCGTGTTTGGAGGACAAAGAATGCTGAGTTGCATCCAAAGAACACCATACCTACTGTGAAGCATGGGGGTGGAAACATCATGCTTTGGGGCTGTTTTTCTGCAAAGGGACCAGGACGACTGATCCGTGTAAAGGAAAAAATGAATGGGGCCATGTATCGTAAGATTTTGAGTGAAAACCTCCTTCCATCAGCAAGGGTATTGAAGATGAAACGTGGCTGGGTCTTTCAGCATGACAATGATCCCAAACACACTGCCCGGGCAACGAAGGAGTGGCTTCGTAAGAAGCATTTCAAGGTCCTGGAGTGGCCTAGCCAGTCTCCAGATCTCAACCCCATAGAAAATCTTTGGAGGGAGTTGAAAGTCTGTGTTGCCCAGCGACAGCCCCAAAACATCACTGCTCTAGAGGAGATCTGCATGGAGGAATGGGCCAAAATATCAGCAACAGTGTGTGAAAACCTTGTGAAGACTTACAGAAAACGTTTGACCTGTGTCATTGCCAACAAAGGGTATATAACAAAGTATTGAGAAACTTTTGTTATTGACCAAATACTTATTTTCCACCATAATTTGCAAATAAAATCATAAAAAATCCTACAATGTGATTTACTGGATTTTCTTTTCTAATTTTGTCTGTCATAGTTGACATGTACCTATGATGAAAATTACAGGCCTCTCTCATCTTTTTAAGTGGGAGAACTTGCACAATTGGTGGCTGACTAAATACTTTTTTCCCCCACTGTATGTGAGATTCTTCAAAGTAGCCACCCTTTACCTTGACAGCTTTGCACACTCTTGGAATTCTCTCAACCAGCTTCATTACATTTACATTTAAGTCATTTAGCAGACGCTCTTATCCAGAGCGACTTACATGAGCAATTAGGGTTAAGTGCCTTGCTCAAGGGCACATCGACAGATTTTCCCCCTAGTCGGCTCGGGGATTAGAACCAGCGACCTTTCGGTTACTGGCACAACGCTCTTAACCACTAAGCTACCTGCCTTCATGAGGTAGTCACCTGGAATGCATTTCAATTAACAGGTGTGCCTTCTTAAAAGTTAATTTGTGGAATTTCTTTCCTTTAATGTGTTTGAGGCAATCAGTTGTGTTGTGAGGTAGGGGTGGTATACATAAGATGGCCCTATTTGGGAAAAGACCAAGTCCATATTATGGCAAGAACAGCTCAAATACGCAAAGAGAAACGACACTCCATCATTACTTTAAGACATGAAGGTCAGTCAATCCTGAACATTTCAAGAACTTTGAAAGTTTCTTCAAGTGCGGTGGCAAAAACCATCAAGCGCTATGATGAAACTGGCTCTCATGAGGACCGCCACAGGAAAGGAAGACCCAGAGTTACCTCTGCTGCAGAGGATAAATTCATTAGAGTTACCAGCCTCAGAAATTGCAGCCCAAATAAATGCTTCAGAGTTCAAGTAACAGACACATCTCAACATCAACTGTTCAGAGGAGACTGCGTGAATCAGGCCTTCATGGTTGAATTGCTGCAAAGAAACCACTACTAAAGGACACCAATAATAAGAAGAGACTTGCTTAGGCCAAGAAACACGAGCAATGGACATTAGACTGGTGGAAATCTGTCCTTTGGTCTAATGAGTCCAAATTTGAGATGTTTGGTTCCAACCGCTGTGTCTTTGAGACGCAGAGTAGGTGAACGGATGATCTCTGCATGTGTGGTTCCCACCGTGAAGCATGGAGGAGGAGGTGTGATGGTGCTTTGCTGGTGACACTGTCTGTGATTTATTTAGAATTCAAGGCACACTTAACCAGCATGGCTACCACCGCATTCTGCAGCGATACGCCATCCCATCTTGTTTGGGCTTAGTCCCACTATCATTTGGAAGGACTATTTGACCAAGAAGGAGAGTGATGGAGTGCTGCATCAGATGACCTGCCCTCCACAATCACCCAACCTCAACCCAATTGAGATGGTTTGGGATGAGTTGGACCGCAGAGAGAAGGAAAAGCAGCCAACAAGTGCTCGGCATATGTGGGAAGTCCTTCAAGACTGTTGGAAAAGCATTCCTCATGAAGCTGGTTGAGAGAATGCCAAGAGTGTGCAAAGCTTTTTTTGGTTAGTACATGATTCCATATGTGTTATTTCATAGTTTTGATGTTTTCACTATTATTCTACAATGTAGAAAATTAGTAAAAATAAAGAAAAACCCTTGAATGAGTATGTGTCCAGACTTTTGACTGGTACTGTATGTAAATGAGATTTCTGTATTTCCATTTTTATCAAATTGGCTAACATTTCAAAACGTGTTTTCACTTTGTCATTATGGGGTATTGTGTGCAGATGGGTGAGAAACAATCCATTTTGAATTCAGGCTGTAACACAACAAAATGTGGAATAAGTCAAGGGGTATGAATACATTCTGAAGGCTGTGCGTGTTACAGATCTACCGACGTATGACGCTGGCTAGAACATTCTACCACATCATTGTCATGACATTGTTGCGTGTTCTGCTGGTCCACAGGGTTGGTCAGGTGTCTGATAGTTGGAATGAGATCGTAGTTCAAAACAAGATGTCCAACTGCAGGAGGAGACACTACCTGATGGACGTCAAGGCAGCTCTGGAGGTGAGGATGTCACCTGTAACCGTGTTTCAGCATTGATATAGAAAAGCACTAATGTCTGGGCCCGTATTATTAAAGTGTCACAGTAGGAGTGCTGATCTAGGATCAGGTCCCATCTGGCCTGTAGT